TGTCCTCCATGTAAGCAAGGCAAGCACGTAAACATAGGAAAAAAAATGACAACTTAAACGAGGCTTGAATTTCATTGCCAGAAATACTTTAAGAGGCCAAATAGGATGGGGAAAAGAAATACCTGCTTTTCGTTCTGTCAACATGCATAACAGAAGTTTTGATTTTCATGTCAGAGCTATTAAAAGGCCCGTAACTCATTTTCTGATTTTTTTCCCCCCCTGTGTAGAAGAGAGGCTGAAATACAGCAGTAGAAGCTTAGAAAAGTTCTTAAAATTACAGTTAACTCACCAGGATTGGGGTCAAGGTTTAAGAGGCAGAAGTGAGAAAAACTAAAACTACTAAGACAAAACATATAGACTAGACCATTGAAACATGAGGATGAAGAGAGAGAGAAAAGCCAATGACCCTGTGGCCTGTCCCCTACAGAAAGTCTCTGCCCTGCAACACCCACCCATTGCGAGACACCAGGTAAATGAACTGCCACAGGTTAATGGCACAATTAATCTGCACCTCAGCCCAGCTGTGGGGCATTCAGGGGCATTTGGATGAAGTGATGGAAAGGACGATGTTTTCTCTACTTTTAAGGCAGCTCAACCCACATGGCACAGAAGAGGCTCCTTCCACTTTGCTGACAATACAGCACCTATGTCAAGCTGAGGATCTTGCTCTGCCTTTGCTGGCTGAACACTGACCCCGCTGCATCGCCAAGCTGCGCTAATGCTCATCTCCTCAGATACCACGAGGCAGCAAAAGCCCTCACTCCCTTACATCCTGTGTTTTTGAAGGAAGAAAATGGGGGAGAAATTTCAGGAAACTTGAAATTCCACCACATGAGCATTGCTGGATTTACTGCAATGTGCTCAGGAGAGAAGGACATGCGGAGGTCCCAGCAGGAAGGATTCAGTCCTCTTTATGTCTATACATTTCGCCACCCAAGTACTCACAGCTACCTCCCCTCCTTACTCAAGCACAAGCCCACCACCATTTCATCCTCAAGTCAGGTACCTTGATCTTGCTGACAGTGTGGATGGGTCAGACTACCCGAAGTATCAACAAAAGCAAAGTGATGGAGGTTTCACACATGCACCAGCACAGATGATTGAAGAATAACCCCAGCATGTTTTGTTTAAAAAGAAAAAAAAAAAAAGGCATTTTTTTCCTCCAGTAACTTGACAGAAGTGAGGATGCTTGTTGCTACACTGGGAAACATGACAAGGGATTTTAACAAGTCTTCAGTGCCGTCCTGCTCCCACTGACAGCAGCAAACATTCAAGCACCTTAGTGGAGCATCTTTACAAAGCCAATGCTGAGCTTTTTTGGCAAAAATACCTAAAATAAGGATTCTGGTGTTTGTGTTACTAATATTTTGAGCAGAGTGGAGAAACCATGAAGACTGAGTTTTGTTACCTAAGGACAATGCACTTGCTTAGTTATTGATTCTGAAGCTTTCCAAAAAATCAAGGAGTGGCAACAAACCAAGCCCCTGTGTAGCCTAATGGTGATGACAGGCCGGGCATATTGTGTGTTTAGAGCAAACATGCAAACCATGAGCTCCAGGTATACACAGAACAACTACAAAGTACTGAAGTAAGAGGACCGAGAGACTTCAGGAAGCCTATTTTAAGTACAGGAAGACACAGACGGTTCACATTTTTCATGCAGACATGTTTCCAGTGGAAAATAGGCCTTTTTTCAAACGCCTCTGTCTCCACACCCCAAAGCTATGAATATCACTGTTGCTTTCTATTTTTCATGAAATTTTCTGCCGCATTTTACTGACTTGTGTTACCATCTGAAATACACAATACTCTCCTGATATCTGGGTCGCCCACACCGAGAAGGGGAATCCTATTATTGTCTCTCCACGCACTTGAAATGAATGAATTTGTAGAGCTAGCTCAGGTTTGAATTCAAATGCTGATACTACTATGACAAGCTGCCACCACCCACGTGCAGAAGCACTACAAGCCTTTCATCCCAGCCAGCGCAGCGGCAGGGCAATGACATCCCCCAGGATATTTGAGAGCCGAGGGCACTGCTTCTTCATCATCACTGCTGCTACCGCCTTTGAATATAGATGGAGCAGTGAGAATATTTATCATTTATTTTTTTTTCCCAGAGGGATACACTATGTACAATCAGATCCCATCTGCTTTGCAGACTGAGAAACACACACCACTAACCAGGAAAGCTGCAAAACCTACAAAAGTCAAGAAAAAGTCTTTCCCTTTCTCCGCTTCAGCTCTGGGTGAAGCCCAAAGCCAGTAAACACCAGTTTTGTCTCAAAAGCAAGAAATCATGCTCTTAAAGTCTACCTCTATGACCTGTGCTACTCTCCAGTCACAAAGGAGCACATGGTAGCCAGAACACATCTGCCTCACACCATACGGGCAGTCACTATTGAAGTAATTAAACAGAGAATAAATTTAGTAGTGCAGAATAGCAGAGATACAGAGCTGCTGTACGACCTGAAACCGTGGCACGAACTAACTCTGGCCGAACGCCTCAGCCTGACGTAATACCGTGACTCAGGACACAATTACAAACCTTCTTCTGCTACACCTCAGTGCATTCACCAGTGCGTTAATTAAACTGTCAACTGCTGGGTGGAGAAGTAGTAAACAATATTGAGATCTCAGAGCCTTTGGTTCCTATCGTCACAAACTGCAAGTGTATTTTAAATCTTCAGTTCTCACTGAAGTTATGAAATCCTCAGTGCCTAAATAACCTTTCAACAGAACTAGAGGTGCTGGTGTATGTGCACGCATAAAAAATTTGTCTAAAATTATTATGCTGAACTACTTTAGCAACATTAATATTCTTAATTTTAAAGTGGCCACAACTCAAGTTTCTCTCCATAAGTTAAGTTATCTCAAAACAAGACATGTTAATTCCTAATAAACATACGGTAAAATTATATCCTGCAATAGAGTCAAAAGCAAATCCTTAGATGACAGTCAATGCCTCTTAGTTACTATTAAAACTAACCTGTTTTTTCTAGCACTATTATGGAGGCCGAATTCAATACACCATAACTGAGAGCTGGATAGGGGAAGTAACTGGAGGGTAAAGGCACAGTTTCTTGAGCCCTTCAGTCTTAACCCCATTTCCTCCTCTAACTATACCTCCAGAGCAGTGGCATGCAATTAACTGCAATTTGGGTAATCTGCTTCCAAATTCACATCTTCCATCTATGCAGAAAAACCCTGCTGTGGGTCCCTCTGCAGATAAGCTTGTTTGTGCTCAGCCCCACAGCCACTACAGAGATGGAGACCAGGTTGCAGGCATCCTGTCCTTTTGACATGCATCCTGGGAAGATGTCATGGGATGCACAGCTGCACTGAGGACCACCATGGCCCAAGGCTACATGGGAAGAATGAGGTGGGCTTGGGAGCTGCATTTTGGCTCCCAGCCCTTTCCTAACACAAGATGGTTTAGTTCAGAAGGGCATCCCTAGTATATGCACATATATAGACCCCCGATATATAGACTTACATAGACCTATGATATACACTGACAGTGATTTTCTCCACTTCAAAATCCAGCAATTACTTATTTGGGGCTTGATCCTACACATCCTGCAGTGTGTATTGCTTCAATGGGACTCTGCATGTGAACCAAGTTATGCATGTCTATTCACAGGCCGAGACCCAGAGTCATATTGCCTGTACGGTGCTGAGACAGCTAATACATTTTAAAACTTTTTAAGCTTATGGATTTACAACTCCAAAACTTCAGAAAAAGAGGTGGTACTGCTGCAAGACAGTAAACTGATTCCTGCCCCAGCGAAGTAATCTGATTCCTGCCCCCCCCCCCCCTTCTATAACATCTTTATGAATTCATGTCAAAACACCTAGGGATATTTTGGTGTTAAGAAGGGCTGTGGAACAAAGTTGCTCTCCTCCCCTAGCAGGAAAAGGTTTGCCTACTTTTTTCCTCATTATTCTGGGCCTCTATTATACAGTAAGATATTTTATTATGACAAAAAGTCAAGACTTTGGTTTTATCCCCCTTGTCTTGTAGCAACACCCAGCAGTCCTGATCATCAAGTGATTAGTGTCCTTCAGGAGCAAGCAGTAAACGTAAATTTAGCAAATTTATCAAATATAAGTACAGGGTCTGTACTCTCAGGATTATCTGATTTTTCCCTTACTGCAGAACAATCCATATGAAAATGAAATCCTAAATTTATTTTGCAGCTGCATGATGGCAAGATGTACATGCCCATTAGGTTATAGGCTACCACCAGCACACAAGTGCTTTTTACTGGGATGTTAGGATGTGCAGTCCCAGAAACACTGCTAAATCAAGGCAAACTTGTCTACTGGAATCCTGAGCGTTTAAGGATGGGTGGGGATCCCAGAGCTGTGCTGGTGCCCTGTCCAATGGCTGCTCTACCTTCCAAGCCAAGCTTTTTTCCCCAGCTGTCCAGCCTGAACCTCCTCAAGCCATAACCTGAGGCTGTTTCCCCTCGTTTTACTGACCAGTAAGGAGCTCAGCTCCATCGCCTGTGTTAACCCCTCCAGGCACCAGCTGGTGGCAATAAGTCCCTTCCCTGAGCTTCTCACCCAGCTGAACAAGCAACTTAATTTTTTTTTTCCTTTTGGTGTACTTTTCCCTCTCTCCCTTGCTCCAAACTGCCTTTGCCTAAAGCACCATTCTTAAATTAATTATCAAGGAGCTTTATGCTGCAGAGGAGCATTGTTTTAGGCCTCCACCAAGACTTGTGGCTTTTTCTTCTGCAGCCCAGGAGCATGATGGCACAGCCCCTGCAAGACCCATGACTCACACTCTTCTGGGACATGCATACAAGTTTAATACATATAGCACTTTTTCCTTGCAGCTCTACTATTAAATATTTGGATTTGCAGCTCTCTCTGTACTTGCACACTCCCCAGCCATGCCTGACTCCCAGAACAGCCACTATTGGTATTTCTTCATTAAGGTTCCATGCAATCAAAGGTAGGTTAGGAAATTCAAAGGTGACTTTGCACGATACCTTCATAGGCGCGAGCTGGATGGGAGTGATGCATGAGGGATCCACCATAGGCTTTGGCCTGTTTGCCGTGTCCGCCAGCAAGCTGTGCCACTGCTGAGGTAGTCCGGTGAACTTCTGCTCCCGGTGGTCAAAGCCAGTGTGAACCCGATGCTCGAAGTTAGAGGGCCCAGAAATTTCAAGCCTTTTCTTCTTCTTTCCAAACATGGTGGAAAAATCTGGAGAAGTCATAGGAAAACAGGAAAGAAGATAAAAGAAAAAAAAGAAATCTTTATGCTTTGTTGCAATCTACAGCCATTCTATCTATTGCACAGATAATTTGAGTAGATATTATTAGCCAAATACCTACATGAATCTTACTACACACATACTATCTTTGAGATCTATGCACAGAAAACATTTATCTGACCTCCTCTCACAGGATCTGAGATTTTAAGAAATTATCCCAGTCTCTAATCTATACATGCTCATAACACCTTATGAAAAAAGGAAATGCCTCTATTCTCAGGAAATAAAGCCTCAGGTCCTACTTTCTATGTCTCTCTACTGCCCTGCTTGTGCTGCAAGACGCATCCCAGAGCCCCACGCTCTCCCAGCTGCAGCAGCATACAGCTTTCTTCGGAGGACAGCACATGGTGTAAGAGGCAAGCTGTGCCCCAACACACCATGAGAACAAATGCACACACAGCTTTGCACCTTAAGTCTATACATCAGATCTTAGAGAAAAGACAACCCACCCCAGCTGAGAGCCTGGCCCCACTATGTTCATACCTAGATCTCACCAGCAGCAGTGAAAGAGGGACTTATTCACATGCCATTCCAGAAATGCAAGTAGATGGAGAGCTCAGCTCTAATCCAACCTAATCTAAGAACCTTCAGTCTACATTTGTAAAAGATCCAGCTTAAAAACAGTATCAGCTGCTATAATCATCCTATTTAAATAACCTGACTCCTCCTTCAGAAGAGAAATGATTTGCTGTGAGAGAGCCACATGCCTGAAGCACCTGGGTTTATGCTCGGGTGGCTGCAGCTCACTGGCTCCCAGTCAGCACACTCAGGTGGGATTCATTACAGCAACGGCCAGACTCCTTTATAAGGTCCAGGAGGAAGAATCAGCTCCTTTAGTCAGTGCAGGTGGTGTGGAGAAGAAAGATGAGTGCATGCAAGGAACTAGAGGCTGTTGGAGAGAATGTGACCTTCCCAGCTCATGCATTACTGGAGAGACATGGGTTGACCTGGTTGCTCAGTAAAACTAATTCTTACAGCACTTAACTCTACAGAAAGCGAGCGTTTTGGTCAACTATTTAGTTGTTATTTCCTGATAAAAGTTGGTTGGTTTGCCTTCCTCCTGTCTGCTTTGTCTTTCCTGAGGAGCCTGGGGAAGACAGCAGGAGGGTTTGCGGGGCACAGGGAGCATGGGCAGACAGCTAGGGCAAGACATGTTTCAGAGTCAAAGTGGGAGGGATGAAGGTATTTGGTCACTCTATTGGCATAGGAAATAGCCAATACATTCACAATCTGAATTAACCCTTGGGTTTGGTGGGTCCCACCTTAGAACTAAGTGGAGCCTAATGGCTGTATCGAGGCAAGTTCAGAATTGACTTTCTGAAGGACTCCAGAAACCTGCTGTATAAGGCAAGGAGAAATTCCTGGTCCCAAGGAAACCGTCAGAGGTCCTGTTGCTTTTCACTGAAATACTGTCCTGTCCTGGAAAAGTCCTCTGCCTGCTTTCTGCTGCCTCAAAACAGTCCTCCACTTTGATCTCATGGACATTTCAAGCAGGGCTTTGTAAACCCTTGAGCAGCATATGCCTGAAAAAGCATCTGGGCCAGAAGGCTGACAGCTCTATAAAGCTTCTTCTATCACAAGAGAGACTCAGCTGTAAAGGTGCTGCTTGACTTTATTATTCAGGAGGCAGAGAGGAGAAGATCAGGGAAGAAAATACAGCTGCATTGCTGTTACTGCAAAAAAAGATGGGATGATAAATCATGTATTTATTCTACCCTCATTCTCTTGTACCAGTTTATTTAAAGATCAGATCCATTATTTGAAAATTGATTGCTGACTGCTTTATAAATCCCCACTGTGTGTTTGCAGGTGATTATGTCTCCCTTGTGCATATTTTCTTTCAACAGAGCAGACCTGTTCCTGTTGGCCTTTCTTCACAGGTCTCATCTTCCACACCCTCCTCTGCCTTTGCTCCCCTTCTCCGAACTCCCTCCAAACCTTCTGCCCTTTTGGCAGTCTCTCTCCATCTCTGTTAACTCAGGCATCTTCCTCACCTTCCTATCCTGAAACCTCTTACGACTGCCTTGCTACCTAGCCCTTTTTTCCACTTCCAACATTGTGATCTTTTTATTTTTAATGTGGCATGTCAGGTGCCTTGTGGCACTTGCAGAGGTATTTCCAGCCTAACCCAAAGCTGTCATGGTTGGTCTCTGGTCAAAGATTATTTATTTGCAAGGCTCAAACAGAAGCAGCCGGCAGTTCGGGTAGTAGCTCGTATTCACTGCTCATCCGTGGGGCTCCACAAACAGCAGCCAGCTGCAGATCAATGGCACTGGATTGATTTCATTCACCCTCTGGGATACGAATCTATGAGGCCTGTGGGAGTCACATTTTAAACCATCAGCTCTAGACATGTACTTCTTCACCAGATCAATGCCACTACTTGCAGAGTTTCCCACTGGACTTGCATCCTAATGCAGCTGTTGAATGCTTGAAGTCCTCTAGAGCTCCAAACAACATCAAATAAAAGAACATCAGCTGGCAAACTGTATATTACCTTTTTAAAAATACACAACAGATTCCTTCAACAAGATATTACTCTGTTGTTTTTAAATTGCTTTTTGATATATTGTGCTCTCTTGTTTTAATACCATTGCAGCCAGATGCAAATGTGAAATTTGGCCCAGCAGGTCCCTTACTTTCTCAGGGGCATGTTTTAGCCTCAATCCTGATGCTAAGGCCACATTTTTGCATGTGGATGGTGTCTGAGGCCTGGGCAGGGGGACTTGCTCCCCTCTGTTGACTGCAGCTCATGTTTAGATCAGCTTAAATCAACCGTTAAGCTACAGCAGGAGAGACAGGGAGTAATACTGACACCTCACGCAGCAAGGGATGGATTCAGTCATGTGGCCAAATGCACAAATGCTATGCATCTTGGTGGCCAGAGATCATCCCCTGTGGGGCCGAGCCTGTGAAAGGAGATCAGTAAACCTGGCAGATGGTGGTCTCAGCCCCGCGGGAGCGGGGTAGGACTCCCCCCATGGCCACCTGGCCCAGTTCTGCAAACAGTCTCTTGGTGCTACCGAAAGGAGCAAAGCCTCAACCAACTCTTAAGGGTATCAATAATAAACGCTGTGCACTGCTGCTTTGCTTCATCAGCCAGCAAGGTCTCTCTGTTTTTTTGCAAAGCAAAGCTGACCTCTCCTGGCTCCTAAAAGCCCTGCTTCAGTCCCTAACAAGGTGCTTCTCCTTAGACCTCCAAAAGGAGAGATGATTTAATCTCTTTGCTGTAGCTTTATTGATACAATACAAAAAATAAAGCATTTACTCAGGTGTGGAAGTAGAAAGCATCCTGGACAAGTGAATAAGTGAGAAGGGTACCTCTTACTCCTACAACAATTTGATAAGCCTCGGAGAACTAAGTGCTTTGAAGAGAAATGATGGACCTCTGGATTCCAGATGGAATGGATCCATTCCCTGGCTGCCAGATAGTACTTATACCACATAAACGTTAGGAAATTTCTATCAAGAACACAAAAGGCATTTTATCAAAACAGAAGTTCATTCAGGCACCTACGCATTCTCTGTCATGCAAAACAGCAAGGCTCTCAAAGTTGTTAAGAAATCCTAATTTCCTAACGGGATTAGTTAGGAAAACATCCCACAGACAAGAGGGCAATCTTCTGCATTTAGCGGAGGCAAAGGGAGGTAACTGGCTGTGGGACAGCAACGTGGAGCTGCCCGTGTGCCGTCCTCACCCGACCTTCCCCATGCCAGGGCGCTCACCCTTAACTTAATTCCTCCTGACAGCCTCCAACGAACTCCTGACCACGCCAGGTCTCTCAGCAAATGCCATCTCTCAGTCCAGCTCCTCCTGTGCTCGCCCCCACAGAATGAAAGGAAATGAGGTGTCGTACTCCTAATTTGTTACTATTTTTGTGGGGATGAGCACAACCAGGATGCTTGTCCTCTACTTGCATGTGCTTTGCCAATGAAAAGGCTGGCTGGTTCCAATGCTGCATATGTGGCACAAGGTGATACTCAACATGAGGGAGGCTGGAGGAGCCTGTCCTAACAACAGCTACTATTGATGGCAGGGGGCTTGAGCTAGCTCGGGGGAAAGAAAAAACAGGACTCATCGTTACGTGGCTTCAATGGGCTATTTCTGTAGAAAGACTTTACTTAATGCTGAAACGATGTAGCACGTTCATTTTGCACTTATAAATGGGAGGTTTGAAGGAGGTAATCCTTCAGTTGCTACAAACAAAGAATTTAGTAAGTGTGATGGCGTAAGACCAAAAGCAAATCCGTTCTTAACTGGGGGAGCCAGGAGAGAAGTCTGTATTCAGCTCAGGGCTGTGATGCTGAGGGGCTCCTCCAACCCATGGTCATACTGTGGCACAAGAATAAAGACAAGGGACTTCCTTTACCCAAGCCATGATGGAAAAAATATGGACATGACATTTACTGGAGGAAAACACAATACTGGTGGGGAAAATCAGGCTATCGTACTGCCTCTCCTGCCGACAAGGTCCGAGTAACCCACAGCAGTGCTGGTCCCAGCTGTGCCAATGGGGAAGGAGTAGGGATAGAAGGAGAAATGTGTGAGCTGCGCGCTGTAGATACAGCTACCCAAAACCTTTTGTAGTGGCAGAATTTGTATTATTCAAGCTTCTGCCCAAGAAAGGAGTACTGCCAGCTCTGCTGGTGCCCGCTGAACAGTCAGAACACAGCTCCATGCAGCTGCTGCAGGAACCGAGGTAGTGCTGGAAGGGTGCTATCGGGAGCAATCACTGCATCTTGTACCTAATGCTGTTTATTGTAGTGCCTAAACAAATCGAATTACATGCTAATCAGCACACCTTGCCTGTTAGATCTATGCCAGACTTGGCTCCTTTTCATTTCACTCCTTTCCATCCATGAAAATAATTCACTGAGCATCACAGTGCTACGGATTCCTGGACTGGTCCAAATGTCACACGTGACCTCCAACGACAGATCAGGTCCCCACATGCAGAGAAAATTCTCTGTGTCCAAGATACTCCCCGTGCAAGGTGTGAGACAAGGACCAGCAAAGCAAGTCCACTTTGTCAGCTACTACACTGCTGTCATGCTGCCTCCCAGTCACTGATGAAGGTATTTTTCCAGCAAGAAGTATCCTACAGCCCTACCCTGGAGTAAAAGGGTAGCAGTATTATTTTGTGTGTCAGAGGAGCCCATGATGTGTAGGTGCTCAGGGCATGATTGCCAGCAACAGCCTTTCCACGAAAAGTTAAAGCCTTGCCCAGCTCCTATCGCTGAGCTCATGTTCAGAAGTGACAGGTTGCTCTGTTCAGTCTCATACACTTGGCCCCATCCTGGGGTTTTGGTGGGTTGTCCTTCCCCTGTATGTGAGATCAGGGGACACTCAGGGGTACCGATGAGCTGAAAAGCTGAGTTCAGATTTATGTAAATAGCCTCAAAGAACAGATTTTTGCACTTACAGCACGTAAAACCCGAGGCAGTTGGAATAAAAGGAAAAAAGGATGCCTTCGATCCTAAAGTTAATCATATTCTGTATCTTTTTTCATATCCTAAATAAGAGTGTTCCAGTCAACCCACTAAATAAGAGAGGTCCACTTAACTCTGGCTGACTTATGGAGTGACAGACCCTGTTCCCAATGGAAAAAAGTCAGAGCCACTTTTTTCTTCCCCTCCCAGAAGCTATACTTTTAGGTGAAAAACTAGGGAACTTGGAAAGGCTTATTTTGTCTTGTAATCTTGAAAACTACCAAGGAGTCCCAAGTGCATCTGCAAAGCACTGACAATGGCACTTGCCATCCCAGATGACCCCACCGACTAACACTGAGCAAAAGTCTGTGACATTTTGCCATACATAAAAACACACAATAACCTTATAAAGTTAGTAACTAGAATAACAAAGTGAGATTGGTATTTTTACTTAAAAATGGAGCTTTTAACAATTGTGTACCAGAGCCACATAAGCCCTATATTTTTTTTATTATAGTATTTCAGCAGCCAGACAGTGTGTCCCACTAATCCAAGGAAATCATCTGTGTCCAGCAGCAGCATAACCCTGAGCCATCCTGCAAAGCCTGCAAGTATTTCTTATGCACACCTTGCCGCTGCTCGAGCACACGGCTGGGCTGCAAATGTTCCCTCAGGAGAGGCTCTGCGTTCATCGACTACAGCCCAGCAACACGTTTGCTTTTTAAACAACCAGCAATTAGTTCATTTTCAATTAGGAAGCACACACCACATTAAGTCCATCAGCGTGCATTTTTTTCTGGAGGGGTTCCCTGTGGTTCCTTTACTGAGCAAGCAGCAGCAGAGCCCTTTCCCCTCGGGGACAGGCATGCTATTAGCATCTGGAAATTGCCTTTGTGCACACTGAGTATCACCTGCAAGCCCAGAGCGGAGGGCAGCAGCGAGGCCTCGAACCCCCCAATGCGCTGTGAAAAGGCACATTTTTCCCCCAAAGCAGCCATACAGCCTTCTTCATTTTTAAGAACTTTGATGAAAACTGTTAGAAACGCAGATTGCAAAATAGGAGACAGGTACAGGTCGCTTTCCTTTGATAATTTTTACTTACTAATAATAGTTTTCTGTAGCACAAGGACCTCAATTATTCCCCTCCAGAGCAAACAAAACGCAGTAATACATCATTAGCTTTGCCAGCTTCTGTTCCCGCGCTCTGATTAATTGTAACCTTTCCTGATATTTGATTGTAAATGAGTGAGTATGAATTGAGAAGCACAAATTAAATTAACGTGTCAAGCCAGATTGCATAGCCGGTACTGCAGATAAATGTGAGCTGGGCTATACTCAATCTTAAGGAGAAAGCAAATGTCTGGTATGGACTGATGGCAGCATAAATCGCTAAGAAATACTCCGTAAGCGAGAGGTAAAAATGACGTTGGTTCTCCTTCAGCTTACACTGGTGCAACTCCCTGCTACTGAGGCAAGCGGAAGGAGACGGACATATATCTGTGTATCTATGTAGCCGTAAAAATGAGGAAAACGCTTAATTTTTTTCTTTAATAAGGAATAGGAACAGCAACCGTTTTGTATTTCCTTTTTGTTTGCTTTATGGGTGGTTCTAGGCTTCTCAGTGGGGACCCTCTGCTGTTGGCTGCAATCAGAGCATGAGCTTGCTTTGCAAAAAAAAAAAAAGTGTGCACTGATTACAGGCATACATTTTCTAGAAGAAGTTACCTCTATTTTTCTATTTTTAACAGAAAATACAGAGAACACTACCCTATTTTACAGGAGATGAATCAAGAAGCAATACCTTCTGGAAAAGCAGAGCAGACTGAACAAGAAGCCAGTAAAGTTAATGGAAAGGCTCTTAAAAATGGTACTCGTTTCAGGTCAGGCCTGACACACCACTGTGACTCTGAGACAGAGGAGAAATCTCATTTGAATTCACAGGTAAAATACTCCTAAATACTTCCCTCACTCCCAGAGGAGGTTTCTGGATATACAGGATGGAGATGAACAGCAGAGACCCAGGAGCCTGCAGAGCACACTCAAACCACAGGTAGGTGGGTCCTGCGGTCATGTCTTGTATTTATTCATTCATTGACTGGTCCTACGTAGAGGGAGATCTCATTACGTCTTTAGATACAAGGTAGTTTCAGACCTCATGAAAGGATATTGTTTGTTTTGTCATGTGGATGGACAACACCAAACGCAGAATACCAGGTTGGTTCATCTGTCTAATTAGAGACTCCATTTCCCATGGAGCTTAACCCTCTGCTCTTCTCCATGATGATTTGAGCATTTCAATTTGGGAACAATAAAATAAACCCTTAGAAAATGTTCTGACATACCCTGCTAATGAATCAAGGTGATGAATTTGGGCATTGACTCTGGCAGCAACAAAAAGGATCTACAAATCCTGAATGAACAGCCCAAGTTTTGAGTCTTCTACCATCCTGCCAAGCTCTTCCACATGTTAACAGTGTCACTGATGAAAAATTAATCACCTGTAACCATACAGTCTTTCCAGACTAACTCTATCTTTTTTAATTCAAAGAAAGTATAGAAATACCATTTTCAGTGCATGCCCACATTGAGTTTCAGGCACAAAAAAGCTTGTCAGTCAATAGGAATCAACTTATTCCCATGGATTTTCAAGATGCCTTATATTTTTTGAGATGAGACAGACTCTTAAGTAATTTAAACACTATTAAAACACATGTTTTAGTAACGGAAAATTATATACTGATGGACTAGACCATACCCGCTATGCACAAAAATGCCATCCTTCTCAAAGCCCCTCATTTACCCTACAGCATTCTGCTCCTTTCAACCTTAGGTCAAATCAGCCAATTTTTCAGAGTTCCCATGTCACTGCCTAACATAATAAAAATAGATTTAAACAATTACAAACTGTCCAGGATTTGTCATTGTCCATATTTCTTTTCAATCCCACAATACCTTGTTTATGGTTGAAAATACCTTCATTCGTCACAGCACAGTAGGGTGTCTCTTGATAGCTGGCCCATGAGACATATCTAATAGAAATGCACAATGGAACAAAATACAGGAAAAAATAATAACAAAAGGCAATGCATGCTTCTAGAGAAATACTAAAAGCCGGTACAGAGTGGCCAAACTAGAATTGCTGTACTCCAGGGAACAACACTCATTCTTCTTATTGAAAGCTACTCTTGTATGAGGACTCATTTCCACACACTGACTGACATGTGCTTTCCTAATTTAGAAGTCCTGCGATTCCCAGTAGATTTTAATGCTCAGTAATTTTCAGCTGAGTAGCTTAAATGCATGTATTGTAGTCAGTCACTCTCTATT